CTACTGATCTCTTCAGGGGAGCCTTGAGAAGGTTTTTTTTGTGGTTTTACGTATCAGGTTTTGATCCAGAGTATTTTTTATTAGAAGTGCTGGTACAATATCCATTCAGTTGCAGTTTCGCCCATTATGACTTGCATCAATTAGCATACTTGAATAGCTTCAAAAGAGGTATCCAAGTTTTACCTACTTCTATGCTAAGAGTATGTTACAAGTTACGTGGATGTAGAAAGTTTCTTTCATTTCTTTTTATTATGTGTAGTTCATATCTCATTATTTTGATATTATTCCATTTTATTGTATAACTTTCTCTAGCATTATGGACTATTGCAGATAGATCGGTATTACCAAATCTTATACATTCATCATGCTCTTGAATTCTGACTTTGGTTGGTCTTTTTTGTGTCTGCAATGTACTAGAATCCACATTCACAAGTAGATATTTTAAATATGTTTTTAGGTCTTTATGTGGTTTGGTGTGTACTAACTGTGATGGTATTATGTAGTGGTTTTTCTTCTTGCTTCTTCTTGGTGTTTATCTTCTTTACCAAGTGTTCTGGGTATCCATTTTCAAGAAGAGTTGTAGTGATGTCTTCCTTCTTATTATTAGTATCTTCAGTAATACAAATTTTACACATCCTGAAGTTTATGCAGTCTACGATACTCATCTTTACACTATTAGAGTGGTTTGATCTACAATCAATATCTTTACCAGTATACGAGTCGTGTCTTTGTAACCATCACTTCTAGGAATGAGAGTTTATTTTTCTTTCCCATGTATATTGTAAGTTCTGTTGCTGGATATTGTATGTATTCATGAATTTTGGTATCTCATCTGTACATATGTATCTTTAACATATCTAAGCCAAATCCTGGGTCTTCATGCAGCTGTTTTAAGGGGTGAGCCCATGGCTTAGCCTTATTGTTATTGGTAATATTCTTCCTCATGCTGGAATCAAGTTGTGTTGATACAGAGGGTTGGAAGTTCTATTATTACCGAGATTGTCAGTTTGGTGCATTCTTTGAGAGTTCTATTATTTTCAAACTGTTGGGAGAGCATTTGTAGTGTTTCAAGCACTGGTACATTAGTGGGTAGGTTGAAAACAAAGCTGATGGTTGCCTTATATTTTTTATGGTTGCTTTTGTAATATCAACAAAGCAGGCTGAGTTCTTAACATGTGGGGGTGTTTTATCTGTTAATTGTGATATCTGCAAAATATCTAGCTAAGGGGTGGCATGATGAATCTCTACAGTTAACTATGGAGTAGAGGTAGCCTTGTTTGCAAATTTTAAGCAGGCATAGATAATCATAGGCTACTAACCATGACAATAACCAAGATCTGATCACCATAATCTGTCCATAAGTACTCCTTTCTTAATGTTAAAATTATTACAAATAATAGACTAGAAATATGTCAAAATATTTGGTTAAAATGTGGCTTATAG